CGGCCGATGGCGAAGATCAGTACGGAACATCCCGCCCTCAAACTCGTCAATTCTTTTCCAATCCGTCCGCCAGGATTGCCTTCTAGTCGAAACGATAGATAGATGTGCGGGGGGTGGTCATAGACTGAGCGAAATAGTGCGTGGTCAGACAAAGAGCGATCCGAAATAAAAACACCCATCTACCCGGACAAATACACCCCACCCACACATGCACACAAACTTCACCAGTGAAGTAAACCCAGCCTGATCGTGACCGTTTGCCCAATAAGGCTATGGGCACTAAACCAGCTGAGGCCACAACCTGGTGAATGGCTTCAGCTGCCCGGGTCACATGACAAACCAGTTATTGCACGCACCAGAAGGGCACAGATACCCGCATGTACCGTCCGCTCCAACCTGAACTCGCACATCATCCCCGTCGATTTTCTCTCTCTCTCTCTTATTTGCACTATCGGTCGATTCGTACAGGAGATCGATCGGTAGCAGGCGCAAGCGATGGCAATATGGCCGTGTGTCTCTGTGCAAACACACATGGAGCTTGCGCGCACGTGTGTGTATTGCTGCCTGTCTTTAGCGGAGGGCATAAATGTGCGTGGGACAGGTAAGTGGTATCAGCCGTGCGCAATCGATGGTGTTGACTGCAGGTTCAGTCTGTTCCATTCAGTTCCCTTTGCACCGGATCTTCCACCAGCTTGTAACAAATGCTACTGCTGGCAGATAACAATAATCATCATCCGGAATTGCCAGTGTTTGGTTATCGGATCTCGAACCAATGCTGTGGACTGGTTTGGTCAAAAAACAAAACCCGAATTGTATTTCCGTTACAAAGCGCATGTCATGGAGGAGAGAGAACAGGAAAACAAACAAAATGAAACCGGAACCAAAACACGTGAATCCAGCCTGTTGATACAATACATAGTTATGGGGAATGGTTGCATTTCCTTATGTGTTGGTTAACGAATGGATGGAGTCCTGAAAAGCCCTTGTAAACAGACTATGAGAAAGAGGCAGATGGTAGACCCCCATAGGAGGCCAGGTGCATTGTGGATGTCGTTTTGGCACGATGGTCTATAAACTCGTAAAAAGTGAGCCCTTGAGCCGGTTCACAAATGCGCAGTAGTGCACTCCAGAAAATGACAATCAAACACAATCCCTGGTAGTTTGGGGCACTGAAAATTCTTCAGTTGAACACACAAACACACTCCTTTATTGGTCAGTTTGACAGTCAGATAAGAGATGATCGAATAATGAAACAAAACTATGGACAGGTGGAAAGAGAACAAACTAGTACCGACAATTTAGGCTCATATTATAAAAGCGCTATCTTCTCCAGGGTTCAGACGAAACTAACGTGGAAATAAAAATAACAGGAAAAGGGTGAGACTGTTGAAATAATGAGGTGTGAAACACACACATACACACACACGTGAATCAAACCATGACATGAAATTACGTTAACTGGCAAACTTGAATACAGTGTAGTGTTCGAAATAGGATATGCGAACTATTCATTCGAATACTTACTTACCCCCNCCCCCCCCCCCTACACACACATATACGCTTCTGCGTTCCCCTGTTTCATTCGGTTTATATGCAGGGAATCGATCGATCAGTCGTAGGTGCGATATGAATTCAAATTCAAGTCACGTGCGACTAACGAGATGACGCGGGAGAAAGTGCATACACAGAATGAATCGATTATAATAGGTGGTGTGGCATTGTGATTATGACATCGAGGCTATTCGGAGCACAAGCGGTGAATCGAGATAGAAAACAAGTGTGAACACACGTGCTTGCATCCACAGTCAGCTTAAAAATAGTACATTCGGCCTGGGGCAGGGCATTCGAACCTTGACTGTCGTTTCTGTCTGAATTTATACACTTTTACCTACACGAAAACAGCAGCTGAGTCAAATGGTGATGTACAGTTTCATGTGCGTGGTGAGCGCTTGGTTTGGATTTCGATCGTTTCATTGTATTTGCTATAGATAACATGTGTGAAGCCGTGAACGTAGGGCCTTTATGAGGTAGTGAGTCCCACTTGGTTTGAGTGAATATCAACAGTTTGATCGTGTTACGTTTCGACGATTCAAACAACGTAGCTAATGTGGCTAAGACACTCGGTCCCCTCAAGTGTTGGATCAAGGAGAACAATAGCGGAAGAGACCGGAATCCGTCTGCATATGCTCCACCCTACCCGCACCCCACCTTGTATCTGTGCTCATAACACATTCGGGGTTCGATGGCCATTAAAAGAGTAAATTCTCCTCCCGCTTATGATCCGAAACAGTGCGTACGGTCGAACTGTAAGCAAAGCTCGGTCATGAAATGGAAAATTTTAATTATTTCTACTCCCAGCCTATAATCAATCATTACCTCATAAAGCTTGATCATACGAATTGTGGCCTACCGTTAGCCACAGGATGAATCATTAATAATTAACTTAATGAAAAACGTTTTCTTACCAAAGCGATAGTTAGAATTTCATCACAGAAAAGCGGAATGGGGAGAAATGATTTTTTTCAAACTCACCGAACGTTGCCGTTCGCGTAATTGACGCAGAAGAACTACGATTTGCCGGTCGGCCACATCAAATACCGATTGGTTCTAATGGGTGAAAAATGATCCAAAATAAATGAGAGCTTTTTTAATGTTAAGACGTGTTAAGACGTATTGAAAAATGTGGGTGACACGTTTAGTTTGCATATAAAATGAGGAGTTTTTAATCAGGTTCATTTCATTTCGTATACTTCTAAAATACGATCGAAGGGAAAATCCAGGCACAATTAATTAGGAGAGGAAGCTATTGTAAATCGATCATAAGAAAAATTATCCAACAGATGTGCACATGAGACAAACAGACAAAACAGTAGCACTTTCGACAAATCAAGGGTATCTAATAACTCACAATTGATGGATCCCATTGGTCGAATAATATCCAAGACCGGTGAGAATAATGTTCACTCAGCTTTCTCAAACAATAAATTGTTGAACAGCTAAGCAGAACAACAACAGACATGTTGAAAAACAAATAAGCATCGTTATTTCCCTCCAAGGTCATGCTGATATGTTTTATTCACATGACCGAGTTGAATGTGTGGCAGGGGGGAGGAAAGGCAACATTGTTGACTGTGCGAGTAAGAAGCATCAGTAGAATTTGCCGTGTGCATCATATCACGAGCACATGCTTACATGAGGGTGGGTCACGTCTGTTGAACGGAATGCCATATTCAAGGGAAGAAATGAGGACCTGATCTGTATCCCGATAAGAAAAGAGTAAGAAATTGGAGAAAAAAAATGGTGGTACCGAGGGTTGAGGGGGAGAAAGTGAAATGCATAGATGGTTGTAATACCCAGACCGAATGAGAGCGTGCGTGTGATAGAGCACGAGGTATACGTAAAACATAGAAGCAGTCGCCTTTGGGGGACGAAAAAGCTGCAAACCGACGCAATGATCTATTGAAACTGACGTGGAAATGAACAGTGAAATCAATAAAAATTGTACTGCATACTGTTGTTTGAAGTGAATCATTATAGTGTGTAAAAGATAATACGAACATCCAGCAAACAGTTCGTTTAACTAAACACCCTTCGAAAAAGAAATACTAACCGTCAACCCCACTTACGTGGGAGGTGGGGTGGGGGGGGGAAACAGTTGTCAGAAATGATACTCACGCAGTGGAATAAGCTATCGTGAATAAAAATCCACTTGGCTGTGAAGGCGTGTTTAAGAAAAAACTATCAACAAGTCCCGTGGTGTTGAATTTGAAAGATGTTAAGTAGAAGGCGCTTGGTGTGAATCATCTGCCAAATGATACGGATTTATTACTGTGACGCTGGAGAACAGTGAAATGAAGGAAAGGGTTTCGTGAGAGGACAAGTTGCATTCAATAAGAGCGAGTATAGGGTGCAGGTCGATGGGTTGTTAACACACAAATAGAGCAAAAAAGGGGAACACTTATAGAACTATTCAATTGCACTTAAGCTATTTGTAAATCTGTGTGATCATTTCAAGGACAAGCACGGCTTAGAAAACAAAGTATGCAGTGTTTGGACCGTGGTTTTGACAGGTGACAGATGGACATCGTTGTGTTAGATTCTGTGATTATGGACCACAGATAAAAAGGCTAAGATCTGAGGTACCCGATAGGAGTAGCGGTAAA